AAGCGATTTTAACTCCTTCTAAGGTGTGTTTCAAAATTATACGACACCATAAATTTCTTAATTATTTTTTTTATTTAAAGTCGTATTAAGGTGATTGTGTTTGTATTTAATCGTTATAACAAAACAAAGAATTTCATGTGAAAACAATATTATATTTGCCTCCGTGGCTTAAGTTATAACAAAATCTTGATTTTAAGGTGTTTCATAATTATACGACACCATTGATTTTTTCCGGTTCCAATGATCAAACTTACCCGAAATTTTTTTTCTGGTTATATATAAACTAAAAGATTCGATTTTGAGAGTAATCCAGCTTTGGGCTGGAAATTTGATCCTTCTAATCTTCGGCCCATACATAAATATTGAATATTTCTCTCTATACCTTAAAAAAAGTTTTTTTCGAAGTCATTTCCCACAATTCGTCTTAACTTTTGTCTGGTCAATATTCTTAACACTTTTGAATCAAATAAGAACCCTGTTCAGTGTATTACGTGCACGAAACAGACCTCAAAACTGATTTTTTAAAGAATTGCCCTTTTGGAACCAAACTGTTTTATTCCAAAAATATTTGATTTTGGGCGATACCAAATGCAAAAATTTGTTCTTCAAAACCTTAATAAACTTACCACATTTCACGATTGGAACATTTAAAACGCGATCCCAGTCCGCGTCACTTTAAAGTTTTTTCGTAATTTTTTCATACGAATTTGAGTGTTTTCTTCATGGGATTTCATTCAGGAGAGCATACTTGGCATCCCGTTTTGTAATATTCGAGCATTAAATGTGAAAAGTTGATTAAGGTTTTGAAGAACAAATTCCTTCATTTTGAGACGTAGTATCGACCGAAATCAAATATTTTTGGAATAAATAAGATTTTCTCCAAACACGCAGTTCTTTAAAATATGATTTTTGAGGTCTGTTTCGTGCACGTAATACACTGAACAGGGTTCTTATTTGATTTAAAAGTGTTAAGAATATTGACCAGACAAAAGTTAAGACGAATTGTGGCAAATGACTTCGAAAAAAACTTTTTTTAAGGTATAGAGAGAAATATTCAATATTTATGTATGGGCCGAAGATTAGAAGGATCAAAGATCCAGCCCAAAGCTGGATTACTCTCAAAATCGAATCTTTTAGTTTATATTTAACCAGAAAAAAATTTTCGGGTAAGTTTGATCATTGGAACCGGAAAAAATCAATGGTGTCGTATAATTATGAAACACCTTAAAATCAAGATTTTGTTATAACTTAAGCCACGGAGGCAAATATTATATTGTTTTCACATGAAATTCTTTGTTTTGTTATAACGATTAAATACAAACACAATAACCTTAATACGACTTTAAATAAAAAAATATTTAAGAAATTAATGGTGTCGTATAATTTTGAAACCACACCATACTAAGGCAAACATTTTTTATAAACTATTATTACTTAAAAAAATAATATTAGATCGACATACATGACGTGTGCTTATTAACTAACAGCTGACGAATACACGATAAACTTGAGCTGCACGGTCACACTGATTATAAAAAACCATCAAGCCGTAGATCACAAACGATCACATCACTTATGGGACAATCGCTTTCGCTCACCGCTCATTTCGCTTTGCTCACCCGAAGCGATTAATCAAAACGGGTTACGGTGTAAATGATCGGTGTATCTGGAAATGATTGACTCGTTGCAGCTCTCTGATGAGCACATTTTTTCAAATATTTTTAGTTTTGCTACAGTTTCTTTCAGTTGAAACCCCTTAGGGCGGTTCCTCGTTGTGGATGAAGTGTAGTTTTTTAAGAAATAGACTGAAGTTTTTCTTTATTCTATTTTCTTTATTTTCGTTTTGTTCGTAATGGATCTCAATTTTTCGTTAAATAAATATAAGTTAGTATTAAGGTTCAGCAAAACAATCATTTTATTAGCAATTGGATCCATTTATAAAAAATTTAAAAAATTAAACAAATTTTCGATGGTTTCAGCGATATATCGAGGTTTTTGACCATCGATTATGAAAACATCGATGTACCCACCATCGATGGTTTTGCATCTCTACTTCATTCCCAAAACGATATCATAAAACCTAAAATCTTTTTGGTAATGAAATCATAGAGTAAGAAACTATATAGAGCAGCGGTCGGCAGCGCCCTATTAAGTGAGCAATGGGTTTTGTTTTTCCGGCGCGCTGCTCGCACGCGTATAACGTAGAACAGCGGTCTGCACACACACATCGATGAGCTGCCCAGTGCAAATTACTCACACAAATATAAAACAAAATGTCAACGTATTGGTGTGCCGACCGCTGATTTAGTAGGACCAAAGACCAATATAATTTCGGACTACATATATTCTTGATCAGCATCACTAGACGAGTCGATCTAGCCATGTCCGTCTGTCCGTCCGTCTGTGTGTTTCTACGCAAACTAGTCTCAGTTTTTGAGCTATCGGGATTAAACTTTCCCAAAAGTCTTCTTTCTATTGCAGGTAGTAGGGGAGAGGTCTGTAGGTTGGGACGGTCTGTATGTTGAGACACTCAATTTTCTCAAAACTTATCCACTAAAAAAAATGATTTTATTTTTTTTTTGTAGTCCTTTTTAGTGACAAAACTTTTGGGAAAAACATTATAAGCCAGGCTCTAGCCAGATTTAAGCTGTGAGAGTCGTGTACCATTTTTCACCAAAAAAAGTTTCTGTCTACTTTTTTTTCAAAATTCCATTTAAAATTAATAACGTCCTTAAATTAACTTGGTAAGAGATTTAAAACATTAGTATATTAACTGTTAACAAAATAAAAAAGAATCAGCTTAATGTGACAGTCAGAAAAAAGTTATTAATTTTTTACCAAAACATCCCATTTTGTGTAAGTTGGGACACTTTGAGCGTGTAAGTTGAGACACCCTTTTTTCATACAAAAAGGCCTTAGCCCGACAGAGGTCGCTTTCTGCCTAGTACATTTCTTTGATATTAGGGGAAAAGTGAATGTTCAAAGAGCCTTTTGATTTTAGTTGTTATTTGGTCTAATTTCCTAAAAAATGGATGGGAAATAATTTAGGACGAATTAAAATTGATTAAATTAACATAAATAAATAGTTCCTTATAGTTTGGAGTACTTTTTGTGTGAGTATTATTGACTTTTAAAAGTGTCTCAACTTACAGACCTCTTTTTCAAAATGTCGTTTTTTGGGACTTTTAAAAAAAAATATTTTTTTAGTTTTCCCTAAGGAAAAAAATATTTTTTTTTGTTTTTATTAAGCTAATAGACTAACCTTTCGATCAGTACCAAATGCGTTAAGTTTCATAAGTGAATGTCGAAATGGCAGATTAAAAACAAAAGGTGTACCAACCTACAGACCTCTCTCCTACCCGTTACTCGTAGAGTAAAAGGGATAATTGTATTCGTGCAAAAGTATGTAACAGCTAGAAGGAAGCATTTCCGACCCTATAAAGTATATATATTCTTGATCAGGGTCACTAGCCGAGTCGATATAACCATGTCCGTCTGTCCGTCTGTCTGTCTGTCCGTATGAACGCTGAGATCTCGGAAACTATAAAAGCTAGAAGATTGACATTTTGCATGCGGATTCTAGGAGTCCCTTCGCAAAAAAAATAGATTTTATTAGACCGTAGATGACCAAGCGATAGCGTTTTTAAAGTCTAAAAGTAGGATTTCGTCCAAAGGGCCAGTCTGCAAAAATACCATTATATTTTTCTTAGAAAACCCCATATTTAACGGATTTTATGTCACTGGTTTTAAAGTGGGATCTATCTTGTGGAATTATCTATGAATTCTTTTCATTGATTTATTATTTTTTTCCAAAGCATATACGATTATTTTATATTACTTATTAGTTCTTTCTGACAGTTAACTACTAAAACAAGAAAGGAAGCTAGCTTCGGCCAGAGCTTATATACCCTTGCAGATATTCCTATTAATTTACAAATCGCAAAAATGTTAATTTATGTCATTTATTTCCTATTATATTCCCATTAATTTTCCGATCGTTCCTATGGCAGCTATATGATATAGTCGTCCGATTTTGAAAAAATTTTATTCGAAATTCAGAATAAGATAAAAAATTACATTTCCAAAAGTAGGATGTTATAGGTTCAAAAACACCCAAGATATAATTTTTTTACATTTTTTTTCCCGATTGTTCCTATGAGAGCTATATGATATAGTTGTCCAATCCGGCTCGTTCGGACTTATATACTACCTGCAATAGAAAGAAGACTTTGGGAAAGTTTTATTCCGATAGCTTGAAAACTGAGAGACTAGTTTGCGTAGAAACGGACGGACAGACGGACAGACGGGCGGACAGACGGACATGGCTAGATCGACTCGTCTAGTGATGCTGATCAAGAATATATATACTTTATGGGGTCGGAAACGTCTCCTTCACTACGTTGCAAACTTCTGACTGAAATCATAATACCCTCTGCAAGGGTATAAAAAAAGTGGGGTGGCCGGGTTGATATGGAACGTCCCATATAGGACGCTGCCGACCGCTGATCTAGACCAAAAATTTAAGCAGATGGCAAACAGCTGTTCAGAGCTGCAATCTACAAAACTTTGTTGTACTCGTTGGAAGAGATTTTATATCACCCCGGAATAAGTGAAGTACCGCATGTCATGTTTTCACCTGTACCAAAAACCAAGGCACTCTCTCAACCGGGCTGTGCGCGATAGAATAAGCAGGCAGGCCCATCTAAATTGTTTTAATGGCCGTTTGAGTAGTCCAACCCGTCAGCCCTTGGTGCATTAGATGATTAAAGGCACAGCTCCGTTTAAGTGGGAAGTTCCCCGATGAGCATATCCAACAGCAGCAAGACTTGTTTGCCTCGGAGCGGACTAGAAGTTGTGAGCGGACTGCCAGTCGGTAAACTCAAAACAAGACCTGAAATAAACCCACACTCGCCCTCTCTTAATACTGGTGCGCTTTGTCAAGTCGCTCGGAGAGAACCGCTGATAAGCTCTGCCTTAGAACGAGAGGAGTTCGTTCCCTCACCAGTTTCCAGTCAGTCAGTGTTTCCAGCAGGCGCCCAGTCAGCGGATCGTTCTTCCACATATGTACATTGGTATAGTGCTGGACTAGATAGCATCATGAAACCGAACTTTCTTTTGGTTGTTCTTTTGGGGCTCTTTGCCGGATCAAGAAGCACTTTTGCACAAGGCAAGTAGAGCTAGTCCCATTGTCGCAGCCAAGTGTTGTTTACATCGATTTGAAGCACAAGGCAATCCCCTATCAGTGCTGAACTTCACCCCGTCAATTTGATGACAGCGGGCCGGTCTCTGAGCGTAGAATTCCCATTCCCGCAGTTCTACACGCCTTGGCACTAATCCGGGTTTTATCTTTGTTTCCCAGAAATCTTTGGGTATTGCACAACGCCAGATGAGAGCAGCGGCACCTGCATAAACCTGAAGGAATGTGGATATCTCTACGAGCTGGTTCAACGCGGATCGGTCTCCGACCTAAACCGTCGATTCTTACAACAAAGCCAGTGTGGTTTCCGCAATGGACAGGTCCTCGTAAGTAACACCTTTCCCAGTTTCCATGCTAAAACTAAAACTTTGATACGGTTACAAGATTAAGTGTACATTGAAAAATCTAGATTAATTTATATAATATAACTGTATTTGAGGCATTTTTTGAATTACAATGCCATTTTTTTGGTAATTCGTTATGTGATAGGGCTCGTCAAACCGAACGCATGTAGAGTTTCCAAAGGGCATTGCTGAACAATTCTGAGAAAACTGCCCAAGGCGATATTGCAAAATTTCATGTAAGGATTGCACATTGGGATGAAAAGCCTTTTTTTTGGCATAAAGTCCAAAATTATTTAGTGAATTTTTGTTTTATTTTTATTCTTTTCTTTTCGGCTAAATTATGGAAAGTCTTCGACAAGATATGTATAATATTGCTTAAAGGGCTTACACTAGAAATGCCTTTGTTATACCCGTTACTCGTAGAGTAAAAGGGTATATTGTATTCGTGCAAAAGTATGTAACAGGTAGAAGGAAGCGTTTCCGACCCCATAAAGTATATATATTCTTGATCAGGATCACTAGCCGAGTCGATCTAGCCATGTCCGTCTGTCCGTCTGTCCGTCTGTCTGTCTGTCTGTCTGTCTGTCTGTCTGTCTGTCTGTCCGTCTGTCCGTATGAACGCTGAGATCTCGGAAACTATAAAAGCTAGAAGATTGACATTTTGCATGCAGATTCTAGGAGTTCCTACGCAGCGCAAGTTTGTTTCAAAAGGGTGCCACGCCCCCTCTAACGCCCACAATCGCATATATACGATTTTAAAAATTTCAATATTTTGGAAAAGTAAAAATGCAGTTTTATTGTGTTTATCAATACCTATCGAAATGTAGAAGAAATTTTTTAAATCGGACCATTCGTTAAAAAGTTACGGCGGATCAAAGTTTTTCTCCATCTCTTTCGCACTCCCTTTAGCTGAGTAACGGGTATCTGATAGTCGGGGCACCCGACTATAGCGTTCTCTCTTGTTTTTTATGCTGTTTTTATACCCGTTACTCGTAGAGTAAAAGGGTATATTGTATTAGTGCAAAAGTATGTAACAGCTAGAAGGAAGCATTTCCGACCCTATAAAGTATATATTTTCTTGATCAGGGTCACTAGCCGAGTCGATATAGCCATGTCCGTCTGTCCGTCTGTCTGTCTGTCTGTCCGTCCGTATGAACGCTGAGATCTCGGAAACTATAAAAGCTAGAAGATTGACATTTTGCATGCAGGTTCTAGGAGTTCCTACGCAGCGCAAGTTTGTTTCAAAAGGGTGCCCTCTAACGCCCACAATCGCTAATATACGATTTTTAAAATTTAAATATTTCGGAAAAGTAAACAGCAGTTTTATTGTGTTTATCAATACTTATCGAAACGTAGAAATTTTTTAAATCAGACCATTCGTTAAAAAGTTACGCCGGATCAAAGTTTTTATCTCCATCTCCTTCGCACTCCCTTTAGCTGAGTAACGGGTATCTGATAGTCGTGGCACCCGACTTTAGCGTTCTCTCTTGTTAACAGTTGCTTGTTTGTTGAACAAGCAAGTGTACTCAGGATTGCGAAAAGTGCAAATGTGGTAATATGTGTTATTGTGTATATGATTATATAGAGTTAATAACTTTTGCGCATACTTGGCTCGTAAAATATCCCTCACAATCTGTCATTTTGTTTAAATATTACAATATCAACATAGGGCGGTGATATTTGTCGCAATAAAATGAGGAGTTACCAAGCAGGGCTGATGAAACATATCAAAACATTTTCCTCAATTTTGACATTTCGTGAGGAAAAAATCAGTGTACGTGAGCGAGCAGCGGCTGGGCAGAACAAAACCCTATGCTCACTTAATAGCACGCTGCCGACCGCTGGTATACATAAATAAATTAGATTTGCATTTCCATGTCAGTATCTTTAATACTGCACAAATGTCATATAAGAATAGAAAAAAGGGATATTTTCACAGCTTTTAACTATTGTTCCTTTTATTGGTATGCGTAAATAAATAAGACTTGGAAAAATCGATGTAAATAGCTTATACACTGCGCGGAATATCCTAAAAAACATCAAATTTTAACCGATTTTACTCAATTATTCCTATGGGAGCTATATCTTTAAAATTAAAGTATATGCCAAAACGAGGACGGAAGCTAACTTCGGCTTTTAATACCCTTGCAGATTTCACGAATGAAAAGTTGACTAGAATAGCAACATGAAATAATAAACAACAAAATATTCTATAATTGAAAAAAATAGAAATTTAAAAATTTTCACGCTATATGAGAGTTATATGATATAGACGTCCGATCGGCACGCGCTTTTACCCTGACCAAGGTATGCATAAAATAATACGATTTATAAAGTTTCATGGGAACACATTTTGACCGATTTCGCACTATTGTTCCTATCGGAGCTATAATATATAGACGTCATATCGGCACGCGCTTTTACCGTGATCAAGGTATGCGTAAAAGAATAAGATTTAGAAAGATTCATGTCAAAAGCTCTTACACTGAGCGAAATATTTTCATTTTTTTAAAGCTATATCCGATTATTCCAATGGGAGCTATAGGATATAGACGTCCGATCGGGACGGTTTTCAAACTTGATCTGCGTACACATGTTTTAGGACGACTGTGAAAGTTTTAAGTCGCTAGCTTTTAAACTGAGCTCGTAAACGGTATTGAAACAGACGGACAGACGGACGAACGGACATGGCTATATCGACTCCCCTATTAATCCTGATCAAGAATATATATACTTTATTGGGTCGGAAAGGTCTCCTTCACTGCGTTACAAACTTCTGACCAAAATTATAATTATCCCTGCAAGGGTATAAAAAATATCTATTTTACCGTCAACAGCGGAAGTCCGTTTAGTACTATTTGTTCCCAAGTGCTGGGGCTAGCCTACACTAAAAAACAAGAGAGAACGCTATAGTCGGGTGCCCCGACTATCAGATACCTGTAACTCAGCTAAAGGGAGTGCGAGAGAGATGGATATATAAAACTTTGATCACGCACAACTTTTTAACGAATGGTTTTAAAAATATTTTCTACATTTCGATAGGAATAAATACACGCAACAAAATTGCATATATACTTCTTGGGAATCTTTAAATGTGGGCTCCAGAGACATTTTAAAATCGTTAGTGAGCGATTGTGGGCGTTAGAAGGGGCGTGGCGCTCGGCTGAAATAAACTTGCGCTGCGTAGAAAGACCAAGAACATGTGTGAGAAATCTCAACCTTTTAGCTTTAGTAGTTCCCGAGATCTCAGCGTTCATACAGACAGACAGACGGACATGATCAAGACCTATACGACCTATATTTATAGGGTCGGAAACGCTTCCTTCTCCCTGTTACATACTTTTACTCTACGAATAACGGGTATAAACACTCACGGAACATCATAACGAATAACGATGCTGGTTAGGCAAAAGAAATCACTCCGGCGACTCTGGATGCGAACGCGTAATCCGCAAGACTTAGCAATATTTAAAAGAGCTGATTGCTTCAGTAAGGCAAAAAGCGGCGAAAATGAGATGACTTCTTTGTCCGGGCAGTGGACTGTCAGGGCGAAAACCCGGCTCTTCAAAGCAACCTTGATGCCTAGTCTACATTGGGGTATACACTTCTGGGGCACTGCCTGTAACACTTCTATAAAAAGAATTGAACCGTGCCAATCCAAAATGTTAAGACATATGATAAACGCCCCATACTATACAAGAAACACTACTATTTTTCGAGATCTCAAAATTAATCCTGTTTGTAAATCTATCACCAATACTGCCATTCGCTACAGATCAAAACTGGATACTTGGACGGCACGCTTGTGGGAAACTCATTCCAGACTTAGGGCCGTTTTCTCGTCCGTCCTGCAAAGTAAAATTTAGCTAATAGAAGGATAAATTTCTCCCGGTAGCAAATCGGTTTTCGTTTTCTTGTCCGTCATTTAAAACTCAAAATAAAAGGCGCACTATTTTTAAAACAGTCATACTAAGAGCTGATGATATAAACAAAATTTCAAACTAATAAAAAACAATGTCGGCAGAAAGAAAGTTTCGCGGTAAAAATTATACCGATGAACAGGACACAATTCTTGTAGAACTGGTGTCTTCGGAATCGCCTCCGGGAGATTGAATTCTTACATGCGTGCAATCTATGGCTCCTATGACTTTCGGAAACTTGGCTATTTTGGCTATAAAAATCAATAACATTTTCTTGAAGATCTTTAATACGCCGGTACTTCTTAAATTGTTTTGAAAAAGACGCTATAGCAAAATAAACGCCCTTAACAACTCGACTGGCTGTGGCCACGCTAACACCACAAAAATTGCCTACAGTTATAAGAAAACTGCCGCTTGCGTAGAATCTAAGAGCTATTAGAATTAGAAGCTTAACCCAGGGCTGTATTATCGTTTCCCGATAATAATGGTTTTTGATTATATGGAATTAGTTAAATCAAATGAATGCACTTACTGCTTTACTTTAAATTCAAGTCGCAAAACATTTTTTTGTAAAACAAATTTTACCGTTTTTTCTTAAGAGAACCCTTTTAACAAATTCTTCATCACTGTAATGTTCGAAGTAATTTCTTTGGTCGTGATATCTGCGCCGATAGGTTCGCACTTCAGACAATTCGACGATATCCCACAGAGTTTGAAGATAAATCGCTCGGGAATTCATTTTAAAATCAATTCGATGACATTAACAATTTTGATTTGTATTTAACTGTAAATAGAATCACCTGTTTTCGAATGAAGAGTGGAACCAGATTGACAACGCTCAAATGTCTGGCAACACTTGCGCACAATCCAACCGCACAAATTTTGCACGTTGGATGAAGTACCGAGACAAAATTTGTCCCTACCTGCGCTAACATAAGGACGAGTAAACCATTTTTTGTTTATCGCTCCGTTGTCCCGGCAGGCAAACTAAAGTACGGACGAGAAAACGGCCCTTAGTATTTGATTTGCATTATCAAGGTAGGCAAAGCAGGAAAGCAAATTCAAGTTTCCAAAAGGAAAGTTATCTTAAAATTGCATTTGGAAGGGAAAAGCCAATATCTCATTGGCGGAATCTTAGGTCGCGCACACTTCTTGGGGCAGAGTCATAAATAATTATATTTCGACCGGTCCTATACTTCCCAAACTCCGAGAAGGCCGCCCATGTTGATTAACAAAAAGGGAAAAATAAAAAGTAATATTTATGGTTGAAAACAATCCGAAATTGACTTCCCGAGAAGTGCAGCAAAAGGTGGAAAGTCGGTTTTCTAAAACCGTTTCGTACTCAACTATACGAAGGATTATAAAAAAATCCGGATACATGAGCTGCTAACCAGAAAGAAGCCCTATATTTCGAAAACAAATCGACAGAAACGTATTCAATTTGAAAAGGACCACATTTGCAAGCCTACAAGGTTTTGGAAGTCCGTAATTTTTTCAAGAGCAAGTTTTGCATATTTGGAATAAAAGGAAAAAAATTGATCTGGCGGAATTTACTTCCAACTGTGAAACATGCAGGAGGTGGAGAAATGATATGGGGTTGTATGGCAGCTAACGACGTTGAATATCTACACTTCATCGATGGTAATATGGACCATAAGATATATATCCAATTTTTGAACTATAATTTGATCCAAAGCGAACCAAGCTGGGACTACAGGGACTAACTTTTAACAAGATAATGATGATAATGAAGCTCTGGTTGCTGTATAACGTAAAGAATCAGCGATGCTTTAACCGACACAGTCTTCAGACTTGAACCCTATCAAGCACCTGTGGGATTTATTAGAACGCAGAATCAGACAGTCCTCAATTACGTCAAAGACAATGCTAAACACCGTATTGCAACAGGAATGGGACCAAATAGCCGAAGCTGAGACTGAGAAGTTGGTTAATTCTATGGCAAAGCTTCTCGCCGAAGTTTTAAAACAGAAATGTTACCCAACCTCTTAAATTGTGATAAATTGGTGAATAAATGCAACTAACTCGAGCTGTACGCAATCTTTTTAAAGCATGTTATTTTAAAAGGAGATCCTAGATTTTTCCTGCCAAAATGACAAATTAAAAATTATTTGCCCTGTACGCAGAGATATGACGCTGAGTTTAGGTTCTTTCATATCTCAGTCCATGGAAATATAATTTATTTCTGATCATCTTACAATAAACATTTCGTTTACCAAAATATGGATGCAGCGATGTAATATTATTTGGACGTTAAAACCGCTAGTGCGTTCGACTCAAAAAATGTAGAATTAGTGAGAGCCATTAAATTTATTTCACCGGAAGAACAACGGACTAGGTTAACGGGCTTGAAACATAAGCAATTCCATTTCATAAATTCCTACTGAGGTGTAAAGAGGCCGTAAAGAACAGCCCGAGAGACTTAAAAAAAACTTACTTACTTACATTTCTACCCTACCAAAAAAAATATTTATTAGAAAAACAGCTGGAAAATGTATTTTTACCGTGCTTCTAGATTTGCTGTGCAAATAGCCGCATGCGTAACCAGCAGCCACAGTGGGGCAATCAAGGCCAGCCATCAGTAAGACCGACCCAGCCCACAAGGCCTTCAAGACGCCCTGGAATTAGTCTACTGCCCCTGGCACCCAATTGCGGCGAAAACTTTGTGGACCGGGTGGTCGGGGGCAAGGAGACTGGTAAGCGCGAGTTCCCTTGGATGGCGTTGATTGAATACACGAAGCGTGAGTAATCGACATCCTTCCTAGTCAAAGACTGATCCACCTCTTTACCAGCCGGCAACGTGAAAGGTCACCACTGCGGAGGATCTCTTATAAACAATCGCTATGTGCTGACGGCAGCACACTGTGTCTCGGCCATTCCCAGCGACTGGCAGCTGACTGGAGTGCGACTGGGCGAGTGGGACGCGAGCACCAATCCGGATTGCACCACTGGCAAAAACGGTCAGCGGGACTGCAACGAGCCCTACGTAGACTGCCCTGTTGTAGAGCGCATTCCGCACCCGCAGTACCCGGGAAACTCTCGTGACCAGTTGAATGACATTGCGCTGCTGCGGTTGCGGGACGAAGTACAGTACAGCGACTTTATCTCACCAGTGTGCCTGCCCACTCTGGTGTCCCAGCGCAACAATATTTTCCTGGGTCGCAAGGTTGTTGTGGCCGGATGGGGTCGCACCGAGACGAACTTCACGTCCAACATCAAACTTAAGGCAGAGTTGGATCCGGTTTCAACGGAAACCTGCAACCAGCGGTACGCCAGCCAACGCCGGACTGTCACCAGCAACCAGATGTGCGCTGGAGGAGAGGAGGGTGTCGACTCGTGCCGTGGTGACTCCGGAGGCCCCCTTTTGCTTGAGGACTACTCCAATGGATATTCTAACTACTATATAGCCGGAGTGGTGTCCTACGGACCCACACCCTGTGGCCTTAAGGGATGGCCGGGCGTGTACACAAGGGTTGCGGCGTATTTGGACTGGATAGAAAACAATGTTAGGTCCTAGCCATAGCTCTCGGAAATTACCTCAGTTAGAAGGGACATACCACAGCAAATATCGATTTTTAATACAATGTTAATTATACAATAAATAAAGTTAACTTGTGTAAATTAAACCGTACAATGCGTTCAACACAACTTGAACTGGGGCACTGTTTACTTAAAATATAAAAACTGAATATTAGTTTTTAAAGATTATTTTGGTTTTTATAATTAGGCGCTGGCTGGTGTTCTTTCGTTTTGGACTTGTTAGTCGGAATCACAAGCCTCCAATTTCGAATATAAATGCAATCCCCTTGGCATTCGCTTTAAGATCTCAGCGAAGCCAGGCGGCTTTGCATCTCCTGCAGTTCCTCGCCGTCGTCATCATCCTCCTCAACAGGAACCTCGACGCGGGCAGCAGGCGCCTTGTCCGCCGGAGTAGCCTCTGGCGGCAGGGGAGCTTCTCCGAGCTTGCCATCCGTAATCTCCCAGAGAACCTTGTCCACCTCCTTGCCCGCCTCCTCCTCCAGTTCCTCGGACTCCTCCAGCGAATCCATGGTTTCGTCTAACATCTCCTCGATAATGCCGGCCTTCATCATTTCTTTGGACATGTCGCGCATTATGCCGGCCAGCTCCGGATAGCGCACCAGATTTTGCATGGCCTGCATAACCTCCGTGGACTTTTGCAGGGATCCGGCTACCCGCAAGGTGGCTGGAAGTAGGTGGTTAGTCGGATCAGGGAAGCGAGAAAATCTCACTCACATAGCTGGTTCTTCATCTGCATTTGGATGGAGTTAAGGTGCGCCTTCGACGTGTATATGCGGTTAATGGCCTTCCGCGCGTTCACAATCTCCTTCGCCAGAATGACGCAGGTGTCGCGATCATTTTTCTGAGCAGCCTGCTTGAGGGAGCGCTTGACCTTGTCCTCCTCACGCTGGATACTACGAATCTGGCGATCCAGCTGGTTTCCCTCCTTCCGTATCTTGTGCGTCCACTCCTGCACCTAAACGGAATTAACAGAGCATAACTCAGAATACTATTGACAGTGCGCACACATTGTAAAGTAAAATCAAAACAACCGAAATGACATCATTCTTGAGGCACCTCTCTGCGCCGCCTCTGGGTCGCTACCTGTTCTTTGGGATCTTTGCTGGGGGTTTTGCCAAATAAGCCCATTGCACTGTCGAGAAAGTAAACTGTTGACAATTTGTATTTCTAAAACTCGTATTTTGTTTAGAAGTTCAAGTGAGTCATTTTGGTTTTGACAAACGATGCCCACACAAGCGAATCGATACCTGGCTTAAAATCGTTGGAGCGATAGTGTTTAGCAACATGTTCATACAGTCCACCGCTGTTTCGAAAGTAGCTGATCGACTTCTGAGAAGTATAGCATAGTACTCAGATCGGCCAAGGGTGTGTCCTTAATAGCTATCTGTCCGAAAAACTTATAGATTGAATAAACTTTTTGTTAAAACAAATGGGTTTTTTCGACTCCGGCCCACAATTGCCAGCAGTAGAATTCTTGGATTATTTAATAAGCTGTTACTTCTTCTCTTTATCTTAGTGCCGCTTTCTCGAGTCCTTGTCAATGTCCCTGATAGCTATCTTTTCGGAAAAAAAAACGGTTTTTATACCCTTGCAGAGGGTATTATGATTTCAGTCAGAAGTTTGCAACGCAGTGAAGGAGACGTTTCCGACCCCATAAAGTATATATATTCTTGATCAGCATCACAAGACGAGTCGATTTAGCCATGTCCGTCTGTCCGTCTGTCCGTCCGTCTGTCCGTCTGTCTGTTTCTACGCAAACTAGTCTCTCAGTTTTTGAGCTATCGGGACGAAACTTTCGCAAAAGTCTTCTTTCTATTGCAGGTAGTATATATGTCGGAGCCGACCGGATCGGACAACTATATCTTATAGCTCCCATAAGAAGGATCGGAAAAAAAAACACTAAAAAATTCTAGCTTCGGTGTTTTTTGAAATATTACCTTCTACTTTTGGGGATGTTATTTTTTTAATATTTCTGAATTTCGAATTAATTATTTAAAAAATCGGACGACTATATCATATAGCTGCCATAGGAACGGTCGGAAAATTAATGGAAAAGTAATAGGAAATAAATTCTAGCTTCTTTGGTTTTTATTGTATTATCTTCTACTCTAGGATATGACTCTTTTTAAATATTTCCGAATTACAATTTTAATTTGATCAAAATCGGGCGACTATATCATATAGCTGCCATAGGAACGATCGGAAAATTAATGAGAAATATTAGAAAATTGAACATTTTTGCGATTTGTTAATTAATGGGAATGATCTGCAAGGGTATATAAGCTTCGGCTGGCCGTAGCTAGCTTCCTTTCTTGTTTTGGTTAAAGTTAAAGGCAAAGTCAGCTGTGATTTTGTTTTTTCCTTTTATAGGGTCTTTCCACAGAGCTCCATCCACCATCCGTTGAACGGATGCTCCGTAAGGTTTTGTCGTTCCGTTAGTAAGCTATCCAATTTTTGGGGGATTCCCTAAACTGTTGAGTTGTTGAAAATTCAACAAAAAATTTCAGCAATTGAGGGAACGACCCAAAATGGTTCCTGTTGAATTTTCAAACAGCTGTTATTTGTTGAAAAATTTCACGGAACTTAAAGCATGTAAAATTTGATTTATTATTGCTAGTTACTGTCTTAAAGTGTTACCAAGGTAAAAAGAACCACAAATATGCTTTCTAAGTTGATTTTAAAATAAATAATGAGTACTGGTGATACTAAAATGTTACAAAGTTGCCAAGACTTTTAAAAAAAAGGTGACAGCTCTGGCTTTTCAGCGATTCAAAAAAAATTTTCAACAGCCCCGAGACTGTTGAATTGCTGAAATTTCCGAAAGTTGACTTTGATTGGAACAGCTGATTAACAGCTGACCAAAATTCAACAATTCAGCGATTCAACAGTTTAGGGAATCCCTCTTTTGATTTTGACGAGCTCTTTTATGCGATAGTTAGGCGATGTTTTTTCGGTGCCACTCTGAATTCTTCCTCTTGACTATGGAAAATGGAACGATAACTGCGAAAAGAAATCAAATCGATGGCAGGAAAAAAATAAATAATGCTTAGGCTCGTTGTTTTTTGGCTATTGTTGAATAACACTAGTTTACAACTTTAAATTTTTTTCGAGATAAACGCAGAGACCAATTTTTTTTTGATTAGTGTTGAGTTGCTGATCACGCTGAACAAATTTATAAAAATTTCCAAAGGACCGTCCTGAAGATATTCGCAAAAATCCAGATTTTCGGCACTTCTTTTATAAAACCTAACAGATCTCAAAAACCATTAGACCAATTACTTACACTATTTAAAAGGCAAAAGATGCGAAGAAGAGATGCAAAGCTATTACTCGTTATGATCGGGTCTCAATTAATGGAGGTAGAACCTGTGAAAGTTCAAAAAAAGTTTCATTTTTGGCGTTTTTTTGTTATAGCTAGTTTTCATTTAACTAAAAAAAATGCAAATAAAAATGTATAAATTATTTTGAGCTTTCAGATCTAAAGGACCTTTTGTTGTTAACAAGTTAAAGCCATATATTTGCAAATGGAGTGCAAATTCTAGCAGATTTGAATTTTTTAGTGAAACAACCCATTTCTAAAAAATGCTTTTAAAGGCAAGTGGCCTGCTTTTGTTAGTTTGCTTCAGCATCACTCGACGAGTCGATCTAGCCATGTCCGTTTCTACGCAAACTAGTCTCTCAGTTTGTAAGCTATCAGCTTGAAACTTTACCAGAAGTCTTCTTTCTATTCCAGGTAGTATATAAGTCGGAACCGACCGGGTCGGACGACTATATCTTATAGCTCCCATAGGAAGGATCGGAAAAGAAAACGTTAAAAAATTCTAGCTTCGGTGTTTTTTGAAATTTTACCTTCTACTTTTGGGGATTATTTTTTAAATATTTCTGAATTTTGAATTAAATATTTAAAAAATCGGACCACTATATCATATAGGTAACATAGGAACGATCCGAAAGTTAATGGAAAAGTAATAGGAAATAAATTCTAGCTTCTTTGGTTTTTATTATATTATCTTCTACTCTAGGATATGACTCTTTTTAAATATTTCCGAATTTCAATTTTAATTTGATCAAAATCTGACGACTATATCATATAGCTGCCATAGGAACGATCGAAAAATTAATGGGAAATTAATTGGAAACAAATTATAGCTCCGTTGATTTTTATTGTATTCTCTTTTACTCTAGGATATGATTTTTATTTAATATTTATATAGCTGCCATAATGAAGGATAGAAAAATTTGTGTCAAAACAATACGAAACTTAAAATGTTTGCTATTTGTAAGTTAATGGGAATGATCTGCAAGGGTATATAAGCTTCGGCTGGCCGAAGCAAGCTTACTTTCTTGTTATTATTATAATCAAAGAAATCCGTGTCCAAGGGGGATTATATTAAATTCTTAAGAAATCGCGGTCCATCAAGGATACTCTTTTCCCGAATTTCGGGGGTGAGTCCACCAATCCAGAGTATTACCGGCCATTGCAATCTGCAGTTACTGGGGAAAATCTTTGAAAATATCAGGGAACAGAACAAATATGATGGAACATCTCAAGCCAGCGAATTTGTCGAGCCCATACTCTTCAGATTTAAAACGGAAAAAATAAACAATTATATTTTTTTACTTAATGGCCCAGTTTGTAAAAATTTATTTTTATTTAAAAACATCGATGTTTTTCGTTCCAGTCTGTCTTCTGCTCTTGATGTTCCCAAAAATCGATTTTTCTTCACCTCTACTTTGTATGATACAGCTGATTAACAGCTGACCAAAATTCAACAATACAGCAATTCAACAGTTCAGGGAATACCGTGAACGTAACAGCTTAGTGAATTCCTTAGTTATAAAAAATCAGATGCCAATAGATAAAACCAATTATGTTTTAATATATATTGTACTATTCTAAACTAATATTTAAAGTCCCAACTGTTTCCAAGTATTGATTATTAACTGACGGAAGGTTTTCGTGGAAACGAGTTTATTTCTGAAACATATTTTTGCCACAGGAATACCCCGTATATGTATGTACATTTAAAAGTAATCTGACAGCATTTACCACCTTATAATCAGCTGAGCGCCAGCTGCACCGCCCGCTCTGTTATATCAGAGCAAACAACGTGGGTTTGCAAACTGTTTTACGCGAATTATTGAATTAAAACCAGACTTGTTTTATATCACAGTGGGGAAGCATGCAAAACTGCAGGCGCTGCGTCAGCCTACTAGGCGTTGTGCGGCATCAACGCTGCCTGCGTCCATGCTTTTCGATTGCATCAGACTTGCGACGTCTGCACAGGGCGGCCCTTCAATTCTCACGAAAAAAGCCAGAGACAAATGTTTCCGCGCTGTTCAAGCCGGTACAGGTGCAAGCTAATGCTGACTCCGAGGACGTGGGCTCCGAGCTTGTGGGCAAACTGGAAAAGGCTGAGCTGCTAAAGATCCTCAACAAGTTTACCCAACGCCGCGAAATCAAGTCTCTTTGCAGCGAAAACGGGCTAGACGGTACGTAAGCACCGATTTGTATTGCACACCCGCGTCTTACTTTGCATCCGTTCCAAGCCTACTTACAGCAGCAGGCCTTTGGCTCATTCCGAAGATACTGCATAGAGGCGGAGAACCTTCCAGTGGACCTGCACATAACGTTTAGCGATATCACGCAGGGAGCGGGACACATAGATGACATCTTCCCGTACTTCCTGCGTCATGCGAAGACAGTGTTTCCGCATCTAGAATGCATGGACGACCTGAAGAAGATCTCCGACCTGAGACAGCCCGCCAACTGGTACAGCAACGCTCGCGCCATCACCCGGAAGATTGTGTTTCACGCGGGACCAACGAACTCTGGGAAGACTTACCACGCCATGGAGAGGTACCTAAGTGCAAAGTCCGGGGTATACTGTGGACCACTAAAGCTCTTAGCCACGGAGGTGTACAACAAGGCTAATGAGCGCGGCACCCCCTGCGACTTGGTGACCGGCGAGGAGCGCAAGTTTGGCATCAGCGAAAGTTCGCCAGCCAGCCATGTTGCGTGCACTGTGGAAATGACATCGGTCAACACTCCATGTACGAGAGATTATCCCTGTTTATTGACGAGTTGTAATCTGTACGGTTTTCACTGTTTTAGACGAGGTGGCTGTAATAGACGAAATACAGCAAATCCGCGACCCTCAGCGAGGATGGGCTTGGACGCGAGCTTTTCTCGGCCTGATCGCGGATGAAGTGCACGTTTGTGGAGAGCCAGGTGCATTGGATCTTTTGCAGAAGATATGCGAAACCACCGGCGAAACAGTTGAAGTACGGCACTACAATCGACTCACGCAACTAACTGTCGAAAGCACTGCTCTGGGCTCATTGGACAATGTTGTGGCCGGCGATTGCATCGTCTGCTTCAGCAAACACGATATATATACGGTTTCGCGTGAAATTGAGGCACGGTCAGTTCTGCTTAGTCACATAATCCAAATGATCCCTGACAAATGTTTTCCAGAGGCAAAGAGGTAGCTGTAATATATGGAGGCCTTCCTCCTGGTACAAAGCTTGCGCAAGCCGCCAAGTTTAATGATCCCGCCAATAGCTGCAAAGTAATGGTGGCGACAGACGCCATCGGAATGGGCCTAAACCTGTAAGTGAAATGGATATTTGGGTTCCGGCCATATCTAAAGCGCATGATATTTCCTTGCAGAAGCATTCGTCGAATTATATTTTATTCCTTGATCAAGCCAACGATGAATGAAAAAGGAGAGCGCGAGATCGACACAATATCTGTTTCATCAGCCCTTCAGATAGCGGGCCGAGCGGGCCGGTACCGAACTCAGTGGGAACACGGCTTTGTAACTGCCTTTAAGTCCGAGGATTTGCAGACCCTTCAGCGCATACTAGCCCAGACTCCTGAGCCGTTGAAGCAGGCGGGCTTGCATCCCACGGCCGATCAGATTGAGCTCTACGCGTACCACCTGCCAAGCTCGTCCTTAAGCAATCTAATGGACATATTTGTGAACCTGTGCACGGTTGACGATTCTCTATACTTTATGTGCAACATTGAGGACTTCAAGTTCTTGGCCGAGATGATTCAACATGTACCACTGCCTTTACGGGCCCGCTACGTTTTTTGCTGTGCCCCAATCAATCGCAAAATGCCATTTGTTTGCTCCATGTTTCTAAAGGTAGCTCGGCAATATAGCCGCAACGAGCCTATTACTTTTGATTTCATAAAAAAAAATTGTGGCTGGCCGTTCAAATTACCAAAGACTATATTGGACTTGGTCCATCTAGAGGCCGTATTTGACGTGATGGATCTATATCTTTGGCTGAGGCAAGTTTCTCACAAGTCGGCGGCACATAACAACCTAATCCTCCCTGTTCTTACAGCTATCGGTTCATCGATCTTTTTCCTGAGGCAGCACACGTTCGGGAGGCCCAGAAGGAACTAGATGAGATTATACAGCAGGGCGTGTTCCAAATAACTCGCTTGCTTAAAAACACCGAAGCCAGCCAGGACGGAGAAACGCCAAACTACGCAATGCGACGAGTGACCCACGTGAAGGAGCCTCGACTTCCCAGCTCATCTCGTGGACGCCTTACAGAAAGGTTGCTTGCGCAAGGTCTCCTGACGCCAGGTATGCTTAGTGAGCTTCGAAAGGAATGGGGCGCCCAGCAAGTAGGCGATTCAAGTCCCCTAGCTAAAGAAATTACGGAACCAGCTGTGGACAGTGACGACGAAGATAATTACTCAGGGAGCGGTAGAAAGCTTAGAAAAAAACGAACAAAGTAAACGTCGACGAGGATTAGCTGGTAGAGTAAGTCGCAACTTTGTATATTACGGGTTTTTATATAATATAGTTTTATTTTAAGTGGCAATTAAGTAATATTAAAATTATTCTTTTGATAATCAACAATGACAATTTAATTGTTTAAATTGAAGAGTAGAAATACATATGTTATCTGTATCAGAAAAAATAATCACTTTATTTGCTTGCAATTTATGGAGGGAGAATCCTACTCAGAGTTTAAAATACTTGACAACAACTCCGGAATTTCGCGGCGAGGCTAATCGCAGTTTACTCTTTGGGAATTTCGGTTAGTTTATTATATTTAGCCTTGCGTTCCGTCCAAAATTAAGTTGTAGATTTAGCTTAACTATCGAATTTGTTGTAACATTAAACACACATTCACTTGAATTGCGGTTATAAAATATTCGACACTCAAAACATACAGATTTTAAAAGATATAAATACTATGAATGGCAAAATACATTCATATGGTTTCACAAAGAAATTAATATTAAGTTTCTCGTATGCGTATGGCAATAGCTTAATAATTCTGGTTTTTTATGTTTCGATCTAACTTGACTTTAAAAATAAATTAGTTTAGATATTTGTTAAAGCTTTCATTTTTCTCCAATATAAGTTAAACTTATGTAATTCATGCAGTTCAATGCAGAAACAAAATTGTCTCCCTTCAGAGATCCTTAAACATTCCAGCCACACCGACCTTGTCGTCGGGTATACTATCTGAAAACCCTAAGTATCCAGCTCATTTTTCCAATGCCTTATTAGAAATAAAGCTCTAATAAAATCCTTCTGCGTCTCTACAACTCGCGAAACATCTTGCTTGTATTGCAGATGTTTTAATTTTTTTGTCAACTTATCTTCGGGTGTAGAAGATGTCTTTGTGCGTATGAATTTTAAGGTACCGATACTTTTTGTGTCTATTTCTGAATATCAAAACTGGAACATGCGCATTGCTCTTGATCAAAATATCAAGAGTTAGTTTTGTTAAGGTATGTAATATTCCAGGTATGTATGTATGCAAGTATTGACTTCAATTTTTCCTACATATGTATTTTCTGTTTTTATATTTCGGTAATAAAAAAGTGCTAGTCTTAACAGACTTTGGGCAGCCTATGCCGGGCTTAATATTTAAATATAAGATGCAGAAAGGTTAATTACAAAAATTCGTCACTTATCCGTAAATTAGAGCAGATGCACAGATGTACACACAATATCTTCAATTCATTCTCTTTTTCGCCTCTCAGGTTATTCATTTAGTATTCTTTATCACAAACAATCATAAAATTCAAATTTTGAGTAGTAATTTAAGTACTGGTATGCACTTTAGGTGCCATGCCATTGCGTATAAAATTTCGATATTCTATGTTATTCCTTTTTAGTTGTTCATATTTCTCACATTTTATGAAGAAAATGTGTGCCAAATTGATTCCAAATTACAAATATTTCATGGCCCAGTCTGGGCAAGATTGATCGGATGATCCAGACCATTTGGTCGGTAACACCCCGGGCTAAACACTCGACGACTCCAGCCGTCATATGTGCATCAACCCTCGTAAAAACAAATCACAAACACCGACCTTTGCTTCAAACAAAGTCAAGTTCCAGGCCCGGCTCAATATCGACTGCAACCGCATTGTCTGCAGGGAATTGAACAGCGTCGTCCTCCAGGCGCGACTCCCTCGAAACCTTCTCGCGGGACCGGTCCTTGAACGCAGTGAAACCCAGCTTCCGTAGGGCCCTTCCGCTGCGTCCCGAGGACTGGCCCAGCTGCTCGAATCAGGAATCCACCAGCACATGCCAACGGGCCAGCATCTCGCCCTTAGGCATCTCGCACACATCCGCCCAGTGGGCCACTTCCTCCGATCCGGACGAGTTCAGGCCGAGGCTGAACCAGCCGACCATCTCGTTCTTCTTCATGTGCCGCTTGGCGTACACGGAGATCATCAAAGTGACGTCGTTGAGCTGAAACAGAGCTACCTGGAAGGCGAATGTCTCCTTGAAAAGAGGATTAGGCTGGCCCCTTCGGGTTGAAGTCTTGGCCCGAGATATCTCCTGCCCTATACTGCTGACCATTACCATCTTAACGTACGTGTCCGGCGCCTTGTTTAGCGACAAGCTGCGAAACTGGCTGCCCTTGATGATCTCCACGCTTAGCCGCCCGGTGACCCCGTTGTAGCTGAGGCCCAGCAGCAGCTCGGAGACGCCCCCGTGCTGCATGGACGAGGTGGAGCCGGCGCTCTCCGACCGCGCAAGGCTCAGCAGGTCGCTGGTGGAGCCCAGGCCCGAGGAGGTGTTACGGGGCTCAAGTGGCAGCCAAAGATTCGTCTCCAGCTCCAGGTCCACGGTAGCGAAGCTTACGTAGGCCTCCCCAATTAGCCGCTCCTTCCGTAGCCGCTCGCAGCCGTATAGCCGCACCCGGAGACCCATGTTGTTCACCTCTTCCGGGTTGACGCGGTGCAGCAGGAAGCTCTCCATGTACTGGGGGTTCTCTCCGCTGCGAATTTTCGTCTTCAGCTTTTGCTTCTTGCTGGGCAGCATCAACATCCGCACCTGCGTGTGGGTGGGCTGACCACTGCTCAAGGGCGGAAGGCTTCTGGCCTGCATCACATGTACCGTCATCTTCCGCATGGGAGCGTCGTACAGCAGCGACAATTCCAGCTCTATGGGTCCGCGCTGGACGGATGCGCCCTTGGTATCAACCCCCACCAATAGGTCATCTGACTTAATCGAGCGTAGGTCGCTGGTGTCGAACAGGGGTTCCTGAAAAAGGCAGAACTGTGAGAATTAGCCAGTGGAGTTATATAGTCAGTGGGTGTCAAGAAATCTCTGTCGTTTAAGTATAAGCGAGGACGGAAGCCAACTTCGGCAAGCCGAAGTTTTAATACCCTTGCAGATTTTACGAATGAAAACTTAACTAGAATAGCAACATGAATTAATAAACAACAAAATATTTTATAATTGAAAAAAATAAAATTTTAAAATTTTTCACCCTATTGTTCCTATGGGAGCTATAGGATATAGACGCTCGATCGGCACGCGCTTTTACCCTAATGAAGGTACGCACAAAAAAATACGATTTGGAAAGTTTCATGGGAATAGCTATTCTGCGCGAAATATCCTGAAAAACGTCAAATTTTGACCGATTTCACCCTATTGTTCCTATGGGAGCTATAAAATATAGACGTCCGATCGGCACGCGCTTTTACCCTGATCAAGGTATGCGTAAAATAATAAGATTTAGAAAGATTCATGTCAATAGCTCTTACACTGAGCGAAATATCTTTATTTTGTGAAAGCTAGATCCGATTGTTCCTATGGGAGCTATAGGTTATAGACGTCCGATCGGATCGGCTTTCAAAATTGATCTGCGTACACATGTTTTAGGACGACTCACTGTGGGGCGCCTAGAACAAAAAGCCTGCCAAAATGTTTTTTTTTTTTATAAGATTTTCCAAAATGTTGCAATGCAACTTTATAAACAATTGAATTCTCTATACACATCAAAAGGAAAGAGTGATCTGTGTTGAATGGTTCTCCCACTACAGATTTATAAAGTGGATTTTTCGAAATATAATTTTAGCCAATAAGAAAAAAATGTATTTTTACACATCTTTGAAATTTTTCTGAAAGCGCCCAAGGGCCTAAGTTGTATATGTAACGATTGAAATTTTAAGAGCAACCAATTCTTAAAATATTAAAAAAAAAATAAAAATTTTAGATACATAATTACTATTTTTTTTAATTTTTTAAAAGTGGTCCAAAAAAAAAGGGATTTTTTGGATATCCTTGGACGTAAAGTAGTGTTACACCCTAGATCCCCGTTTAATTCTTTTTTTTTAAAAAAGTTTAGATATTTAACTACATATTCTGAAAAAATTAGCCTGCCTTTTTGTGCCTCTTCTGAGAAAACCGCAGTTTAAGTTAGCAAGAAATGTTCATAATTTGAAATATCGTCAGCCCTGGTTCATTCGCGCGCCCTAACATCATGAAGATATTTTACTTATGTGAAGGTATTGATGAAGATAATGATAAATTAATAAACAAATTTGGGTTTAAAATTTTAAATTATGTTATTTTACTAAAAATACATATATGAAGTAAATACCGGTTTCTACCAGTTTTTTTTTTGAAAATATGCTATATTTCCTTGATTGATTCTATGACATCCATAAGATATCATTGACCAATTAAAAAAAAGGTAAGCATAGAGCTGAAATGATAAATAATGACTTAATCCCAATTTATATGAACCAATATTGAAATAGAACCGAGACATTCCCCTTTGTAATAAGCGTTTATATGGCAGCTATAAGATATAGTTGACCGATTTGAATAATTTTTTTTTTCAAAAATCAAGTTAAATTAAAAAAAAATATTGGGAAACTTAGAACCCTATAAGTAATTTATTTATATTTTTTTTCTTAAAAAAACAATTTATTTTTTCTTAAAAATTTTCTACAACAAAAAAATTTCACTAAAAAATTCACCTTATGATGTTTTTTTACATATTTAATTGCCTTCAACAATGCCCCATCAAAAGATATTCGATATAGGGCTCCGCTGATTTAAGGCAGACTTTTGGCTTTTTCGCCCCACTGTGCGACTGTGAAAGTTTCAAGGTGCTAGCTTTTAAACTGAGCTCGCAAACGGTATTGATCGGTCGATCCTGATCAAGAATATATATACTTTATGGGGTCGGAAACGTCTCCTTCACTGCGTTACAAACTTCTGACCAAAATTATAATACCCTCTGCAAGGGTATAAAAATACCTTTTAATCTGTACTCCTAGCTCCTAATACTTTATATCGGACGCGACGTAGTTCGCTATTATTGGAGAAGCATTCCTTTCTATAGTTAGTAACTTACTTTGTTGGATTATTTAGAATTATAAATTAATCTTAAATTAATCTTAAAGGCAGCCTATCCTTAACTGAAAGCCACTGTAAATTCCGCTTGAACCTACCAATATCCTCCACCACCTCTATTCTCTTTACGATAACTAACCTTACTTCTACCTACCTTTTACCTAACCATAACCCCACCTATATTCCTATACTGCGGTTCAACACAGTCCAACCACAGTTTTTCCCCACTTTTATGTTTTTATACCCTTGTTGATAGTAGTATAATTCAGTCGGAAGTTTGCAACGCAGTAAAGAAGACGTTTTCGACCACGTAAAGTATATACTTTCTTGATCAACTTCATGCCTTTACAACTTGTATCCTCACCTTACCCCAGCCCATACCGCCTTATTCCCAACTTAACATGGCATTGATGGCATAAGGTGCTACTAGAACAAAAAACCTGCACAAATGTTTTTTTTAGGTTTTACAAAATGATAATTTGCAACGTTAAATATATTCTAATTCATTATATAAATAACAAGAGGGAACGTTATAGTCGGATGCCCCGACTATCAGATACCCGTTACTCAGGTAAAGGGAGTGCGAGGGAGATGGAGATAGAAAACGTTGATCACGCATAACTTTTTAACGAATGGTCCGATTTGAAAAATTTCTTCTACATTTCGATAGGTATTGATAAACACAATAAAACTGCATTTTTTACTTTTAAAATCGTATATAAGCGATTGTGGGCGTTAGAGGGGGCGTGGCACCATTTTGAAACAAACTTGCGCTGCGTAGGAACTCCTAAAATCTGCATGCAAAATGCCAATCTTCTAGCTTTTATAGTTTCTGAGATCTCAGCGTTCATACAGACAGACAGACGGACAGACGGACAGGCAGACGGACAGACGGACATGGCTAGATCGACTCGGCTAGTGATCCTGATCAAGAATATATATACTTTATGGGGTCGGAAACGCTTCCTTCTCCCTGTTACATACTTTTGCACGAATACAATATACCCTTTTACTCTACGAGTAACGGGTATAAAAATAAAAAGTGGTAACGATTTAGCGTCGCTTGTGAACGGTTGTGTTTACCATTGTGCTCTGAGTTTTTGTTTTATATTGTGTTATTTCCGCAAGTATTTTGTGTTTATTTACTAACAAAGTTTAGCCTAACAATCGTGTTAGTGACTTTCATAGTTCTCCCAGATTACGGGTACGTGGTTATAGTTATTTTAACATTTCCATTTGATTTATTTAATATCTTGGCTTTGTTATTGTAATTTGCACTCTCTAAATTGGCTCTTATATTCTCTCTCTTACTCTCTCTCTCTCTGCCGCTCTATTATAACTGTAATTTCACTCTCTCTAATCCTGCCGAATTTCTTGTAGACATATTCTCATAGTCTCTCTCTCTCTTGCTTGCTTTACATTTAACTGTTCGTGCGTTGAGTTGTTTTGGTGCCCCACAAGCCACGCTCAGTCGATAGAAGACTTTTCTCTCGCGCTCTCTTTCGATTTAATTCGCGATCTCGCGCTCTTATACTTTTTGTGTTTTTGTGATTTTGTGGTTTTGGAATTTAATCCCAGTGCCAAATTTACTTGAGGTATTTTTTTATACTTTTATATACTTTTTATTTTATTCTCTTTATTCTCTAACACATTTTTCTTATAATGACTCTTATCTGTACTAAGAAAAATTGTAGGACTGCATCTAATGACCCTTTTGTTTACTGTTGGCTCTGCGAAGCAATGATGCATTCTAAATGTGCAGGATTTACTGGCAGAGTTAAAGACTTTATTGAAATGCGGATTGGTCTCATGTGGGTATGTGAGCCCTGCAGGGATTTGGCAGTTGAGATGAGCAGCTTTATGAGGCAGACTCGAGACGGCCTATGTAATCTTTCACGAGTTTTTAAACAGCTCAATGATGGATTTAATTCCGTATGTGAACAATTTAATAATAAAAAATTATTAACCGAGTCGCCCAAACGCAAAAAAGCTAGCTCAACGACAGTAAAGGCGAGTGTTGAATCCTCTTTAAATCCAAACTTGGTAGCTGCTGCAGTTTCTGGTGACACAGGGGTAAGTGAACCACCTGTGCCAATGGATACTGCTAGTTCAGGTGTAGTCCCTGTCCCTGTAGCCCCTGTATCTGAATGTCAGGCTCCAGATCCGGCGGTATCAACCAATCCGGAGCCGACCATATTCATAGGTACAGTGGGCGCCGTTTCTGTCGCTCAGCCGAATGAGGTTCAGGCTGCTGCTGGGCGGCGTAAAAATCTCTCAGTTGTACCCAGACGTACAGTAGGTGCCGCTTCTGGCTCTCAGCTGAGTGAGGTTCAGACTGCTGCTGGGGGGCGTAAGAAACTCTCAGTTGTTCCACATAGGAAGCAACTATTTGTTTCAAGATTTACGCCTGATACCACATCTGAGGATGTTTTGGAATTCATTCGTGAAAAATTCCCATCCGAGGATATTGCGGTTGAACAATTTCGATTTTCATACGCACGTAGGATATCGTCTTTCAAAATTTTTGCTCCGCCTGATGTGTTTAAAGAACTGCTTTCTGAAAGCTTCTGGCTTAATGATGATCTGGTTATAAAAGAATTTGTTCCTAATAAACCGAGAACAAATAATAGGCCTTCCACGGTGCCAAAAAACTGAAAAGTTTATTATTGGCTTACCAAAATGTTAGAGGACTTAACATGAAGCTACCCAAGCTTTATGCTGACTCCTCGGCATTTACGGACGATATCTTAGCTTTTACAGAAACTTGGCTGAAACCAGAGATAACAGACTCTGAAGTTCTTGCAAATAATTTTAATACCTACAGAACTGATCGCCTTTCCCGTAGGGGGGGGGCGGCGTTCTAATTGCTTTTACTTCTACCCTAAATTCTGAGA